GTCCTTGGGAGGATATTCTGTCACAGGTCTCATGCTTCCAAGGCACCAGCTCAGATACTTATGCTTTAGTGCATTCAGATAGGCACCTCATGGGGTTTTCACCCGCTAAATTACAGTTTACAAGTACCTGGAGCAGAGGGTGGTGCATATTTGCCACATCCACACTCTGTTCAGGTGAACATAGATACTAAACATTTTGACCCATGGATGAAAGTGTTAACCTTTGAGGAACAGGAAAAAATCTGATGTATGGGCAAGACTTCCATGTACAACATCCATAACAATCAAAACAATGGATGAATCCAGCTCAAACAAAAGCAGTAAATCTAAGCTGAACTTTCATAACACATAGTTTGACCACAGCTAGAGTAATGTATAAACTCTGGTTATTCAACCATGGGAAGAATGAGAAGATCCTTGACAGGATACAGAGGTGAATGGATCCAGAGACTGGGTGCTTCTGCTTGAAGTAGAGGAGGTTGAGGAGAAATTTGATAGAGACTTGCACGATTATGACAGGTTCAACACGTATAGTTCCCCAGAACTGATCATACAGGGAATTGGGGTGTGGTGGGGGGGAACAGGTTTCAGACTTTTGACAAAGGATAGGAGGGGATGTGAGAATGAGGGCTTGGGTTACAGTTGGGACACACTGATGTTTTCAAGAATTTTAATAAACCACCCCAACCCACCCTATTCAACATAAAAGTTCCCTGCAATGAATAGTCTTTTCTTGTGTGGTAAACTTCCATAATTGTGTTCATTTCCCCCTGCTGCTGGAATACTCATTTCTTTGCCATGTATTTTCTACATTCTAGAATGCCTGTTCAATGGAGCAGCTGCACAACACCATGTGATTAAGTTTGTTACATTTTAACATCAGTTGTAGAGTTGTAAATTTTGCACCTACTAAATTCTCCATAAGGTGAGCTTACCTAATAATGCAAATGAAAATTAAGTTTTTTGAATTATTTTTGCATGAAGCCGTAAACAAATTCAAACCACTATGATATTGACATAAGGGCTGCACGGTGTCTCATGGTTCGCACTGCTGTCTCACAGCACAAGGGACCTGGATTTGATCCCAGCCTCTGACAACTGTCTGTGTGGAGTTTGCACATTCTCCCTATGTCTGCATTGGGTTTCCTGGGGTTGTTCTGGTTTCTTCCCACAGTTCAAAGATGTGCAAGTCAGGTGGATTAGCCACACTAAATTGCCCATTGTGTCCAGGGAGGTGCAGGCTAGGTGGATGAGTTATGGGAAATGCAGGGTTATAGAGGAAGGGGTGGGTAAGGGTGGGATGCTCTTTGGAGGGTCAGTGAGATTTGATAGGCTGAATGGCCTGCTTCCACACTCTGGGGATTCTATGATTATAATAAAGTAGTTGTAATTATCTTGGATAATCTTGACCGTAAGATAACAATAAAACATATTGTCTTGCTTAATATGGTCTCAAAATATGGCTAAGGCTGGCCACTAACACAGTTAATAAAATCTAAAATCATAGATAAAATTACCCAGGTTTATGCTTCTTCAACCAGGCGTTACTTTGTCAGTTAGCTCAGTTGATTGGGCGGCTGGTTTGTAATGCAGAATGACACCAACAGCACGGATTCAATTCCTGTGGCAGCTGAAGTTAGCAGGAAGGACTCTCCTTCTCAACATCTTTCACTTGCCTGAGTCATGAGTCATGGAGATGCTTAAGTCAAATCACCACCAGTCATTGTTATGCAGCCCAGAAGCAGACCCTTCAATCCAACTCATCCATGCTGACCAGATTTCCTAAACTAATTTTTCCTATTTGCCAGCATTTGGCCCATATCACTCTAAAACCTTCCTATTAATGAATCCATCATGCCTTTTAAATGTTGTAATTGTATTCACTTCCACCACCAACTCTGGCAGCTTGTTCCCTCTCTCCCTGATTAGCGAGCAGCCCTATGGTCCTCTGGGACTGTGACGACTTTTCCCAATAGGATGGCCTCTAGAATGAAAGGAAATGTAAGCTGGCATTTTCAATAAGATGGGGGCTTTGTAATCAACCTGGAGATCTGACTGCATGATCTGTCACCACTATCTTGGAGGATGACAGCCATTCTTCCGCCAGTCATGCCTGGAAGAAAATAATTCATATGTGGGCAGACATGCCAACAGCAAAAAATTGTGCCTTCCTACTTGGATGTTGAGGTGAAAATCCTTTTCAGAGTAGGTTTCCCTCTCCACAGATGTGAGATCTAGTGAGTATTCCCTGCATTTGCTCTTTCCATCTTTCAGATTTCTAGCATCCAGGTATTCTGCTTCTGTATAACATATTGATTTGAGTTGAATATCATTACTTCATCCCTAAAATCCACACGGGTATAGATAACATTCCTCTCTCTGGTATTATAACTTCACTTTCATCCAGTGCAGGCACTCGATCCACAAAACTTACAATTGTCATCACATGGCAATGACAATACCCCTACATTTTACAATGTTCTTCAGCATCTATCAATGTGTAAATGGAAATCTTATTTATTTGCCTATTCCTGAAAGTCACAATTTTTGAAGTGCAAATATGCCAATTCTATTCCTCCAATATATTAAAGCAGAAGGATAATAAAGCTTAGTATGAATTCTAAGGTTTAGTAGACATATCTGGACCAGAGTTGAGGGATTTGTTCTTTACCCAAAGAGTGATCAAGAACTTTACTATCTAAACATAAATATTTATCAAAGAAATTAACAGTAGATATTCCAGAACTGCTTTTCCTCATCCAAAGTTGTCAATGAACAAGGTGAAAGTCTCCAGTGCCTGGTAACTACAAGAATTCCATATGAAGTTTCTATTGCCTATTGTAGAAGAACATGAGCAATCTCTTTCTTTGAGATACTATAAGTGGGAAAACAAAATGCACACTGACACAACTGACATTGCTGTTCAGAATTCAGCATCACAAGATCTTCTTGGGTAAGAGAGGGACTTAATCTTAATCAAATTTATATAATAATCTGACCTGGAAATATTTAATGTGGACCAATTGATTTCTCATGATATTGTTCACAGAAAATCAGGAACAAACATGTTTTCCTCAAAGTGCATTAACGTGCAGGTGTAGTTCTGGAATCTGTAGTTAATGAAGCCCATCTGATGATATAAAGTGCATAGTTGTAGGTGTGACCTTATGACAACTTATATTATCATGGTAAATCGTACTGTGATGCCACTTGCACATATGACAATGTTGATGCAAAAGTCAAAACTAAAAAGCACAATGAATGACAATTTTACTGGTTGATCTCACAGCATTACATGTGGGAACTCAAGGTCAAATGTAGTATTTGAGTAAAGCAAGGTTAGATAGGAGGAAACTATGGGGACATAGTCTAATATTTTGTACTTCCTAAATCCATATTAATAATGGAAACTGATCATATAACACAACACTAATTATGTACTGCTGCATTATCTCTATTGGACAGGCAGCATAGTACAGGGTGACAAGTTTTTATAGGAAGCAAGAACAGTAAATCATGGCTGATCTGTACCTCAACACCATTTTACCTGCTTTGGATTCATATCCTTGTACACACATCTCTAATAAAAAAATTCTGTTTTGAAATCCTCAACAACTGATTGAAAAAAAGTGTTGACGATTTCCACAACCCTTGTGTGACCAAGTCCTCCTGATATCACGGTGACCAGTTGATCTCCAATTTTAAAATTGTACCTGCATGTGCTGGACTTGTTGCCTAGGGTAAATCATTTTCTTGTCTATCTCGTCAACTCTTTTAATTATCCTGAATAAGGCGATTATATTACACCTTAATTTCTTATTCTCTTCATAATTTAGCCTCAATGTCCTTCTGGTGAATCTACACTGCAGCAATAATAGGCAATTGTCTGAAATGAATGCGATGCTCCAAAGGGGGGGGGGGGGGAAAGAGTTCTACATAAACCGAATACAATTTCCACGCCTTGACCTTTACATAATCCGAACATAACTCGTGTCTCTTTGTACTGGTGCCTCTACAGAAGGTTGAAAGTTCCGTTAGCTTTTTGCATTATTTCTGTGCCCGTCTGCTAATTTTAAAGTGGTTTATGGGACTTTTGGACTCTTACACATTTATGAACATCCAAAGTTTCTGGCTTCAATGCGACATTCCTTGGGTCGAGAAAATACGGCCATCAGGATTTAAAATGGGAAAATTGACATGAAAGACATTTTTTAAAGCAGATGAAATCTATACCCAACATTTTGTTATTAAAAAGGAGATCCTCGGGTAGCTTCTTTTCATTATTATCGGATAGTTTTGCGCCAAAGTCATTGACAAATCTGGTTATGGGGGCGCGGGGGAAAAGGGTTGCGTGTGAATTTTTACATAGAGGTTATTTAAACTGACATAAAATGACAGTTAATCATTGGAAAAGCGGCAGTAATTCAACCCCCCACTATCCACGTCCTTTAAATATGTACTTAGGCAACAGCGTTCAAGGATAAACCGAATCAGGTTAGTTAGTAGACAACAAGGTGCAGGGCTGAATGAACACAGCAGGCCAAGCAGCATCATAGGAGCAGAGAGGCTGACGTTTCGGGCCTAGACCCTTCT